GTGCATTCCAGTTTAGTTTGGTCGATGATAAGGGTCCAATAATGGTGTAGTTGGATGGGGCTTGAAGAAAAGACCTTTCCAACGATATATTATAAGCCCAATTCCGATGAATAATGAGGAAGTTATGGCCAAAATACTAAACTGGGCCCAAATCGGATCTTACCTACGGCCCAATGATCATGTGGAGGGTCCAAAGGTCTAATCCTATTCCTAAACTAATTAGGATGAATTAGAAGCTTCTATAAGGTTCTAAAAGATCTTAATTATCCTTTTTGAAAAGATAAAATCAAAGAATTTGAGTTAAATAAAAACTTTCCTTTTTTAAAACTTTCCTTTTTCTTAGGCGAAATTGGCCTCAACACTCTGAACTTTGGCTTGGGTGCACTCAGCACCCTAAACTAAGAAAAATAGCCAAAACACCCTAAAGTATTAGCATGGGTGCACTTAGCACCATACAAGAAATTTTCCGGCCAAAAGTGGCCGGATTTCTGCGACTTTTTTTTTAATAAAAAAATGTTTTTTTTTCTTATTATTATTATTATTACTATTATTGCGAAAATACCTCGATTTGCGTGTTGTTATTTTTTTGACGGAAATTGTTCAGGTAAGGTTTCGGGTGTCATTTTTAACCTTAATGGGTCCAAATTTAGCTCAGATTTTGCCAAAAAAACGGAAATACCTCGTTTTGCGTGTCGAGAAATATCTAAGCAGTTAAGACACGTAAATCGAGTTATTTCTTGACACGCAAAACGGGATATTTTCTTTGCAAATCCCGAGCTGAATTCGGACCCAATAAGAGTAAAAATGACCCAAAAACCAATACGCAAATCGAGATATTCCTCAACACGCAAAACGAGGTATTTCCATTATTTTTTTGCGAATTTCGAGCCTAATTTGGATCCATTAAGGGTAAAGATGACCCCGAAACCTTACTAAAACAATTTCCGTCACAAGAAATAACAATACGCAAATCGAGATATTCTTCAGCACGCAAAACGAGGTATTTCCATTACTTTGTTGCGAATTCCGAGCTTAATTTAGATCCATTAAGGGTAAAAATGACCATCAAAACCTTAACCGAACAATTTCCGTAAAAAAAAATAAATAACAACACGCAAATTGAGGTATATTTGTAATAATAATAATAAAAATAATAATATTAAATAATAATAATAATAATAATAATAATAATAATAATAATAATAATACTAATAATAATAATAATAATAATAATAATAATAATAATAATAATAAGAAGAAGAAGAAGAAGAAGAAGAAGAAGAAGAAGAAAATTAAAAAAACATTTTTTTTATTAAAAAAAAATCGCCAGAATCTGGCCACTTTTGGCCATAAATTTTCTTGTATGGTGCTAAGTGCGCCCATGCTAATACTTCAGGGTGTTTTGGCTATTTTTCTTAGTTCAGGGTGCTGAGTGCACCCAAGCCAAAGTTTAGAGTGTTGAGGCCAAATTTGCCTTTTTCTTAAATCCTAATTGTATTCGAATTTAAAGATGTTCAAAGATAGTCAGATTTTATTTTCGTGCCTCATAATCTTTGTACAAATTTTATATGGTTGGATAGATCTTGAAATTATCTTTCCAATGATATATTATAATATTAAATCCGAGTTATAATGAAAAAGATAGAATGAGACATGAAACTCTATTCAAAACTAACACCCTTCCACTATTTCGGCCAAATTTTTTATCTACAAAATAATTTAATCTGATTCTAATTGGGTTGGAAAGTAGACTTCAAGACCTTTCCAACGATATATTATATGCCTTATTTGGACTTTCGGATCAAAAGATATGATAAAAACAAAAACGCGTGAAACTGATTATTAGCGCCTGACGCTAAGCATTAGCGCCTGGCGCTAACCTTCAGCGCCTGGCGCTAATTGCCAGCGTCGGCGCTAATCAAGTTTTATGCGCGTCAGAACTCTATTTTGATTTTTTATCTTTTTGGCTGATTTTCTCTATAAATAGCTTCCTAAAAACCCCGTTTTCATGGACCAACTCTCATCAAGATTCTCTTGATTATTCTCTCTCTCTCTCTTTTCTAAACTAGCCTTTTCTCAAATACAAAATTCGGCATTCACAAGACTTAGATACACCTAGCCATATTCGAAGTTTCCTTCGCCCTAGACGTGAAAGGTTTTAATTTCTGAGGGTTTGGTCCCAAATCTTTAGTTCAATTATTTAATTTAATTGTTTGTTTATTATTTTCCTTGAAGTTACTAACGCGTGTATTTTGTTATTAGAAAGAGGTACGAGGCATCCAAGTAAGTGCTTTAATGGTTTTTAATTGATATTATGATATAGAAATCATGCTTAGGTTGTTATTATCTTCCTAGTATCATGTCTAGGGTAACTTTAATATCAAGTATGATTAAAAGTATGATGTTTCCTATGTTCTTCCTAATATTTATGATTGTTAGTATCATGTTAGGGCTATATATTTGATTTTTATTTCTTAGTGACATGCTAGGGTTTGTTATTAATCTTGTTAGTATCATGCCTAGGATCTTGCTATTATTATTATGCTTTAACATGATTCATGATTATTTTTATAATTGTTTTGATTATTATTAATATTTATAATTATATATTACTATATTGATTATTATTATGTTGCTTGATTTTTATTGTTATTGCTTGATCACACCTTTTATGCATGTTTAAAGGGAATTTGTATTTGTAATCACGCTTAATAAGATAATTAATAATCTTTTTTAGGGTTAATTTGATTATAATTCAAGTGATTGCCAATAATAGTTTTGTTTGTGCATTAATAGTCAACCAACATAGATAAACAGGTTTAGGGTTAATCCTATTGATTGTATGGTAGTCAGAAAGCGCACATGAATACGAGAATAATAAAGTAGAGGCCTATTATTAGGGCAAGTTCAATCTCTTTTAGGTTGGATTTGTACCTTCATCCCCGAACTACAGTCATGGTTCCAGACCTATTGGAGTTAACGATCTCTTGGATCGTTAAGGGGTGTAACCTTCACCTTGTGAATGGTTTACAAGTTCCTTAAAAAACTTGTTGTCGACTCTTTTGCTCTATCTTCTTTCCCTTTAGACGCCACCGTACTTTAGTGTATGATGACAGTGGGGTTCAAGCTAGGGGTTAACGCTTGAAATATTCCCTACACCATCCGACCATTACCACCACCACTACCAATCGATCATCGCTAGGCCTGGTTATTGGGCGGGTTGGGGCGGGTCGGTGCAGGTCATTAATGGGGCAGGTCAAGGGGAATGTTATGCGGGTCAGGGGCTGGTCATGGGCGGGTCAGGGCTACTGCGGGTCAGGGGCGGGTCAGGGCTATATGCAAAATTAAGATGGGTCATTAATGGGCCTAGATTATTTCACTCCATAGAATATATTTTGGTTAACCCATAAGAAATTGAGATTTTTAAAGCTTTGATCTCCTCAATCCTCATCAACCCTACGCCATTGTTGCAGCTCCAAGGCAGAATATATCGTGGTCCACCGACGAATAGGACAATATCACAATAAGCATTTGATGAAGTTATGAAAGAAAACATGGATGATTTTGGTATGGAAGCTGTTGAAGATCTTCAAGACGCCATTGATTTTCTCATTGTTCAAGGTGTCGATCTTCTTGGCAATTAATTATTATTTCTCTAATTTCTCTCAATTTGTCTCAATTTTGAATTTAATTTCAAAATTGAATTGGAATTTTGTTAATTAGTGTTGGAAAAGGTATAATTACCAGTTGAATTTTTTTGATGAATTTGAGGTGAGAGAATTGCAACATTTGACGCCATTATTGTATAACCTTACCATTTGAGAAGGTGAGGTGAGAGATGTAGAAGTGATGACAGAGAACAAGGGGTGAGTGGGGTGACAGTGCTGACCCAATATTAAATTATTGGGCTTTTTATTTTAATTCTTAAATTAATGGGACCCAATTAAAACCCTATAAAAACCCTATAAAATAAGACTCTATAAAGCCATGTCCACTAAAAAATTAAAGGGTCAAAACCCTTTAGTATTAGGCCCGACCCCTTTACCATTGGGTAGCCCTACCCAATAACCAGGCCTAATCACCGCACAACAATTAGTAGCAATAGAGACCATCGCATTTCTGCGAGCACCACACCCTTTCCCTAAGGGGTTAGTATGGGCTTAATTTACATATGTCCTACTAGGGTGTCTTATGTTTGGCCGGCTGGTTTAGACTCGCGATGGTGGTTGAATAGTTGGCAAGGCCACGGGAGGGGAAGAGAGAGAAGAAATAGTGGCCATGGGAGGGGATGGTCGGCAAAGCCATGGGAGAAGAGGGATGAGGGAGAGAGAGAAGTGCTTTTATTTTCCAAAATGCCACTATATTTACATGATATGTTAATATAGGATATTAATAGGGGCTACCTCTTTAGAAATGCCTGTATTGGAGATAGAATTTTCAAGGGATAATATATTCCCCTCAAAATAGGAGTAATAGTTATCCTAACCCCTAAGTGTAACTTTTCCTTTCTAAAATACGAAGTATTATCCAGCTCCCTTCTCCTACCTCACGTCATTCAATGATTCCATCTCATTCCTTCTTGCCTTGCTCTTTCTCCACCACTACCCCTGACATAAATAATTATCCCCTTATTTGATCAATCAGTAAAATCCAACCCTTAAAAATTCCGCACTCCCTTACTTATTTAAGACAATCTAGACAAGCCATAAGAAGTTTTGGTGGTAAAAAAACAATTTTGTGATTTTAAAATTTTCTTTTTATAAGTATGGCAATGGAGATAATGTCGTTTAAGATACGTCTTAAAGACCATGAAAATTCAAATCACAAAATATTAGCAACTAACAAAGTCATCCAGTTGGCTTGCCTCATTTGAATTTTAATTACTTGGGATGTTTGGTTTTTAGTGCGGTCCCTATCATCGAATCATTCATCCTCTTTATGTCGCTTTCCATCTCTAGGTTTACGAAAATCAGGTAGTAGAATGCGAGTTTCTAACCGTTTCATATTTTGCAGGATTAAGGTAGGTTGCAAACGTAAGCGAGATTCATTAGCGAAAGAAGAAATTTTTTGATGTAGTTTTCTGATTATTTAGTTTGTTGTTTTAGTTGGTTTTTGGTTGTAAGAATTTTTTTTCGTTATTTTTTTTTTTATTTATTTTTTTGGGGTAATATTGTAATTCATCAACTTCTCCTTAGTCTGATGCACATCACACAATTCACAAATGTTAGTAGTGCCTGCACCATCAACTCCAATTCAGCTCGGAGTCATCAAAGCCACTCAGCAGCACCGCGCTTCATACTCAGCAGCACCGCGCTTCTGCTCTACTCCCATGGCTTCCGACACCAGCTTCGGCTTCCTCGCTAAACAACCTTATGATCCTCCTGCTTGGGCCACTCATCTTTCCCCCCTTCCTTCTCATACTTTCTCTCTTGCCCATGTACTCACTTTCTTCTCTTTTCTTTCTCCCTTTTATTGATTGTATTGTGTATTTGGCTTTACTTTGATCACATGATTGTATTGTGTAATTGGGTTTACTTTGATAACATATTTTGCAGCTTCCTACCCCAATTCACAAGTGGAATCTCCCTAATCTACCCCCCAATACTGAAGTTTGGTTGAAGGTATTTTCTTTTTTCTAATGGTTGTTTCTTTGCTTTTATTTGTAGTTTTTGGGGTTGTTGGTGAAATTTGTGATTTATTTGGTTGATTGGCATCTGGGGTTGTTTTGTTTGGATTCATGGTTATTAGAATTTGTAAATTGTTTGATGAAATTTACTTGGATTGGTTGGTGAAGCAAAAGAGAATTAAATTTTTTTTCTTCGGATAAAAAACCGGAACTACAACCTAATATTATCCCAGATTTCCAGTGTCTGTAAAGAGGTGATTGTCCATGCCATTGAAGGGGGTTAGATGTTAGCAACCTTACTCATTTAATTACCCGGTGTTTCGCATTGAATATGAGATGTAATCACTGCCTGGTACTTAATGATGAATAGTGAATGCACATAATTTTTATAGCCATTTTTATTTAGTCCTTTGTATATGAAGCAAAAGTAATGGCATTCTATTTTATATTTGTTAAAACGATGACTTTGGTTCTTCAGTGCCCATTTTTTTTTATAGGAGTCTTATAATCATTTATATGCCGCCTTTGCCACCATGATTGTTGATTTTCCTTTATTGCTTAGTTGTCATGCTTCTTTGCTAAAAGATCATGAGGAAAAGTGGCCTTCGGATAAACTGTTACCATTTATCCATAGTAACTCAGCTAGCTGGCTAAAAGGTGTCTATTTTTAGATAAATTGTCATAGGCTCGATATTTTTGTTAAGAGTGGAACATTGACAAATTATCCTAATCATTTTCTACCCTTTTTCTCTATAAATAAAATAAAATTATAAAATGATAAGTGTGTTGAGTTGAAATTATAGCTTCTAATAAGGTGGACCAATCTAAGAATTACCATCTTGTTATGATCTAATTTGCGTCATGTGCTCTTTTGACCATGTATAAAAGTAATTCTAATGTGAGACCATCATTTATAGTGGCTATATTGGTGTCATCAATCTCTTTTGGTACAGTACACACACATATGTACATATTATTGATTTTGGTGAGTGATCTCCTCACCATGGCAGGGGTAAAAGTGATGAGGCTTGGATTGATGTGAACTTAATCCAATCTATCGTTATATATTTAAGTCTTCCAGATCAAATTTCACATAGTATGAATTCCTTCGTGGTTAACTAATGGCAGCTATTGCTATCGGTTTGATATTATGGTCCTTATCCACGAAAGATTTTTGTGGATGACCACATGTAATAATCAATTTTGGTTCATGTAGTCGACTCCACTTATGGGATTAATGCTTTGATTGATTGATTAATTGTTCTTCCAATGGTATACTGTAATATAGATAAAGGAACTCTCTACTTTTCCTTCTATCTCATTGACTACTTTAGGAAAATAGGAATTTCACCGATGGTTTTACGTATGGTCACCTCTCCCTTAAAACATTAAACAAATCCTTTGCATGAATATGAATGTCACCTATGGTTTTAAATAGCCTCTACCTTATAGGCAATGATTTGATTAGTCAATTTGACTGTACAAATAGTCATTAACCTTTCACTTTATACACTCACTAGGCCTGTATCATAGTCATTTTGGAAGCTAAATACAGGGATTTTTTTCCTTAGTTAATTGTAATGCAGCATGTGAAACATTGCATGTATGGGATAATAAGCATGTAAGAATTAATCATTTAACTTTAAAACACCCAACCTATAATGTTTGGTTTTTCTCTCTCTTATGAAGTCCTGTAATTCTTCTAAGATGGGTATGTACATGCGTGGTGAATACAGTTATTGAGCTTTTCATATATGCCCTTACTAAGAAGACGTTATCCCCTTGCAGCTTTTAAACTTTTTTTATAGTGAATGATTGGGACTACCAATGCCAAAGTAATGATATTATAACATATGTCTTGCAAATTTGGTTGTGTTCCTGCTACATAAGGCAGTTACTGGTTCAACTCTTTCTTCACGGCAGGCTTAGTCTGTTTTCTTTGTCAATCCTAGCATCAATATGTAGTGGATGTCAGTTTACTCTTTTGTAATTCCCAAACTTCAACCACCAAAGCTTAGTTGATATTCTCCTATTCCCGTTTTCTTCGTCTGTAAAATTCTGTTCTGTTTTGAAATCACACATATACCATTTGATCTGACAAGAACATCTATTATTTTTTACAGCGTGATGATCTCTCAGGTATGCAGTTGAGTGGTAACAAGGTAAGAAAGCTGGAGTTTTTGATGGCAGATGCAGTAGCACAGGGTGCTGATTGTATTATAACAATTGGCGGCATCCAGAGTAACCACTGTCGTGCAACTGCAGTGGCTGCTAAGTATCTGAATCTTGACTCTTTTCTTATACTACGTACCTCCAAGGTTTGCCAATTAATTGAAATCTATGCTTTAATCTTGGTTATTTTTTGAAATTATTGTGACTTTAACTCAAAGCTTATGGTGCCAGGCTCTTTTGGATAAGGATCCAGGTTTAACTGGCAATCTGTTGGTTGAACGCTTAGTTGGAGCTCATGTTGAACTTGTTTCAAAAGAAGAATACGCAAAAATTGGAAGTGTGGTATGTTGAAGTCTTCACAGTTCTAGGCTTTGTTATCTCTTTTATTTGTTTCTGGCTTCTTATTCTATTTGTTTTTATGAGTAATTTGAACGTTAACCAAACTTTTAAGTTTATTCAATCAAAGATTTACATCTTTGCTGAGTGACAATTTGACTTGTTGATGATTGAAAGTAGGTTTATTATCTTTGAGCAACATCATTCAGTAATGGCCTTATATGTTTCACAATAGTGATGCACTCATCTACTGCCCTTTTCTCTTTTTTCTTGGAAAAGTTTTATCAGCCTTTTGGCTTAGAAATATGGATCATGCACGTTAGGCTCTTTGGAGACTAAAATTTAGTGTCTTTGATGCGTGAACTTTATATTTTTAACCTAGAATTATATGGACAGACCACGCAATCTTATTTATCACCTAAACTTTGAACAACCAAATGAAATAGTTGCTTGCCATAAATGCCGCTCATCAACTTCCCCTACACTCTTGCTTGTCCTCAAGCAAGTAAACTAAAACTTAGAGAGAAAGAAGGTGAAGCCTAGCAATATTTATGTTTACTTTTGTAGGAATTATGATTGTTTCTAGCGTAAACCCTTAGATTACTCTAAAGGACGAGTGTGCTTTCGTGAGGGTTTCTAAAGTGTCTAACCCACAGCTCTTCTCAAAATGCTAAAGACGTGACATTTTGCACAACTAGTTTTGGAATTTTCAATTGCGAAGCACTTATTTAATGCTCAATTCCGAGGGTCTTCCCTCATATATGGTTTACGAAGCCGTTAGTCATACAAGTAACTTCCACGGCAAAACTACCAACATTCTAGATATGTTCACAAGTCAAGGGGCCAGATTAGGTAATCAAAGATGCTATCGGAATCAATCGCCTTATTAGCCATTGCATGGAATAAAGTTCTCGGGTTTCACATGGGTTTTTTCAAGCATTTAAAATTAACATAACCTTAAAGTTGTCTGGCCTTTCCCTTTCCCGAAGCCCCATCCCCTTCCCCGGCAGCCCCACCCCCTTCCTCGGTAGCCCCAGCACCACCTGTCTCTCCTTCCCTGAAACCCCACCCTCACCCTGAAATTTTCCGCCCACAAACCCACCCCCATCCTGAAAGTCCCCACCCAGAAACCCACCCTCATCCTGAAATTCCCCACCCAGAAACCAACCCCCATCCCATAAGCCCCACCCCGTGAAAACCCTACCCCAACAAAACAAGCTCTGACAAGGAAGGTGGGTAGCCCATGGGGTGGTGCTGGACTGCTGGTTTAGGCTGGGGGCTGGGAAAGTGGGAAAGGGGATGCTGAATATCTTTTTTTTTTGTTTTATCATTTATTTTAAAATATAGGACAAATTAGAAGGCAACATGTGACAAGTCACTTTCTTTAACCGGTTACCAACTTAAAAAAAACCGGACAAGGGAATATTTTGAGAAGATAGGATTTAAAGGTGGGATTATTTCTAGATTTTGTAAAAGTTGGATTGTCGTGAGTAGTTCGAGCAAAGGTTTGATTATTCTTTTCAATTTTTCCTTTATTATTTATTCATTAAGAAAAATTTGAGATGGAAACAATATTTGTTGATGAATTCAGGGAAAGAAAGGAAAGATTATAAACAAAAAATTGAAAGTTGAAAATTTGAGGTTAGGTTGGCTTCCTAAAGTAAATACTTAGTGATAAGGACTGGGCGGTATGGCTTATCAGTGTTATGGCTATTGTTGCAGATTTAGAAAAATAAAAGTACAATTTCGATGATTCTTTTCATTGTCTCCTCTCTCCAATACCCTTCTTGCTTCATATGATAAGCAGACAAGGTAGATTAAGAATGTGAGATGACAAAGTTCTCTCATATTTGAAAATTAACAGTATGTACTGCTATAATTTTTCACACTCTGTAAGTGCTATAGGTTTACATTGTCCAATTAATTGCAAGGCTGTGAGGCTGGAGTGTACAGTTTTATGTTCTCTCTGGTAGAACCTTATCAAGTATGATTTGATATGCACCTACTGAATGTTCTGTGTACAGCTCATGCTTGTAATTTTATTCAGTATCCTTTCTCCTGCATACAAGGTTATGTGAAAATTGAAAAGCATGGATCAATAGCCTAAATAAACATGATATGGGGGCCATCTTTGTCATTCATGCAGGCTTTGACGAATGTGCTGAAAGAAAGGCTGATAAGTGAAGGAAGAAAACCGTATGTTATTCCTGTTGGAGGTTCAAACTCTCTGGGAACTTGGTGAGATACTATCGGTTCCTTTGAGTTAGATGTTCTGCCTAAGTATAAGTGATCAACTATAAGCCCTATGAAAATACAATAGTCCTCTTCTCTATTGTAGGTTCCTGTGGAAGAAAATGTCACTTGTCTACATTGGTAACATTCTGTTCATGAATTTTCACTCGACATCGTCCTTCAAGAAAAGGAGAAAATATAACCTGATATCCTTGGCTAAGGCAACATTTATTTATTACTTTTATTGGGGTGAAGTGGGTGGACAAATATGTAATTTTATCTCAAAATCACTTTCAAGTATTCATTGGACAAATATCAGAAATAGAAGTACTAGGTTACTTTGTAATACAAATACTATACTTCCTCCGTTTTTCAATACTTCCAACTCACACTTTTTCATGCTATTTAAGAAAAGTGGGGTTCACATATGCTATGACTATGCATAAGGTCAAACATAGCATAGCTTAATTTACCTTGTCTGCTTTATGCATAAGATCAAACATAGTCATGTTGGTCCTTGTTACAATCGTCTCAATGTATAGTTAATTAGTTATAAAGTATCAAAGATATTATTGGTCAAAGTCTCGCGTTGGCAACTGTGCCAGTCAAAATGGGGCACTTAAAAAGAAATATATATTTGGATTACATAGCTATTTCTCATAAATTCATTATTATATTCAATCTGCCATAATTTTCTTTGGAAATATTTTTTTATCATATGTAAGCTCCTTTAGAAATCAACTTAATCTTTCCAAGAAATAAAGCTCTATTGCAAATATGATTTTACTTTAAGAATACATATAAATATCAATCCTGTCTCAGATGATTATTTAAATAAAAATGTGGGGGTTTTACTTACAATGGAACTATATTTGTTCAAATGGTTGAGTTCAATGGGTGATCCTATCTTCTGCTATTGCTTTCTGTCGCAGAACATAGCACTTGAACATGACTAGAATGTATCTGATCTATTTAGTTACAGTCCATTATTAATTCTTGTCTCTCATTTCGAGTATATCCAGAAGAATGTATCCTGAATTTGCTTTCTTAAACAGTTACTGTTCAAAAGGTCATTGTTTCTGCCATCTTTGTTCTGTATGTCTGTTCGTATAAAAAGGATGCATGTTTTGTTTGTCCTTTAACGTTGTGACATTGGAATCAGCTCGTGTGCTTATGTTGACTTTCAGGGGTTATATCGAGGCGATCAGGGAAATAGAGCAGCAGCTTCATAATGTTGCAGAATCGAGAAGTTTTGATGACATTGTTGTAGCATGTGGCAGGTCTGTACAATACTACAATCTACTACAAATATTGAGACAGATAGGGTTATAAAATGAACAGGCCTAAGGGGGAGGGGTAGTGTAGGCAATGTGATTATTAGTAGAATGAACTTGAAGAAGAAAGTAAGTTCATAAACATAGAATGATAGAAATGCTATATAAAGAAGAAAGCAGTGAGAGAGAAGGCAAGTTTATTATTATTGAGTGTTTTGTTAGCTTTTAGATTTTTCGTGGGGAGAGTATCACTCCTCTCAAAATATTGGCTAAGCTTTAATTGGTGATGATCACTGATGAGTTACCTATAAAAACATATCTTGCTTGTTCTTCCCTATTCCTTCTTCCTCTTTTAGTCTCCGTTTTGTGTCCTTAATCTCTCTGTTTTGGTAGCTAATATATAGTTATATACTAGTTCATAACAGAGTGTTGATTAAATACAAATGATAGTTCTTTAAAGATTGGTAGAAACCATAATTTAACTCAAGAGTGTAGGAACTTCCTTTGGCTTTATTCTCCTGAAAACCCATTCACTGGACTTATTTAAAATTTTGTAACATATATGGGAACTTATTTGAACTTATGTGGCTTAGGGCCTATTCACATTTACTTAATTTCAGTTCAGTTCAGTTCAGTCCAGCTCCAATCAGTTCAGTTCAGTTCAACTTCTAATTTCCCTCTCTCATAAAATATTCATTTAAGCTCAGCTCAGTTCAATACAGCTCCAATCTATTCAGTTTAGTTTAGCTCTAATCAGATCGGTTCAGCTCTAATCAGATTGGTTCAGGCTCAGTTCAGTAAATGTGAATAGACCCTTATTTTGTTGTGAATTGACCTTTTATGATGCCCTTGTTAGAACACAATTTTCTTGAAGGTTATTTTCTTACAGAAAAAATAATCTTGCATATTTCTACAAATAGAAATAAATGCTTGCACATAAGTTCACTAGGAAGCTTAGAAAGCCACTCGATGCTTGATGAATCAAGTCACTTCCAAATTCCAAAATAATAGGATACTACAGATACTGTACATATCTGAAATTACAATAATTAGTTATGCAGATTTGTGTAAGTTTGAGATTGACAATTTGATATTTTTAAATTCACCATTATCTAGTCCACTTATATCCACAAAGAAACTAATAGAATTTCTTATTTTCCTAGTAACACATTTGCAAAAGTATGTGGAGAAGACTTTCATGTTTACAAAAATACAACTAAAATTCAGGCCATGATCATATTTTCTGTCTTTCACAGCATATTTACTGTTCTCTCCATGTTTCTGTACGTCCATCTTTGTTGACCTTACTATTTCTCATTGTTTCTTCTTAGTCGTATCCTTAGTTTCTTTCTTCACTTACCATTCACTAATTTATTACAGATTATTATAGATGTTTTGCAGGGAATAACCTTTAGTTTTGCTTTAGGAGTTAAGAGTCAGCATGGAAGCAAGTCATTTTTTTCTTTTTACCAAACACCATTTGCAAAATTGCTACTGTGAACCACTAATAAAAAATGTTATTGCAATCTACTTCCTTCGGTCTCTTTAAAGGCAACACTTCCCTAAAATGGATGCTTTTTAGTTGCAACTTTACTAATTTTAATAATTTTCCCTAGCAAAATACCAAAGGTAACCCATGTGTGGATCAAAACCCGCTAAATCCCCTTTCATTATGCAAGGCTTCTTTGTCTAATCTCATAACCCATGTGGGGACCAAAACCCATTAACTCCCTTTTTCTTAATCTCCGTGCCCACTTTCATGTTACAACTAATATTAAACCGAGGAGTATTAGTTTTTGTAGGATTTTATAGGTACTACGTAGCGGATAAACATGAATCATATTCAATCAAGTACATCGCATGCATAACACACAAGACACATAATCATACCTTTGACGCGTGAATTCCACGTAGTTATTCGACAGGCAAATCAGGGAGAGAATAGAGCCCCAAGCGTTGCTCCTCTACTTAGTCCACGAGATTCGAACGAGCCGTCTAGCAATACTAGATTGGTCGAGTGATTGAGGAAAACCGCGATCACCACCTTTATGGACAACCGACCACCGCACGAACCACCACCACCACCACGAACCACCACCGGCGTGAGGAGGAGGAGAGAGCCGTGTGAGAGAGAGGACTTTGAGAGGGGTTGGGTTTCGTGTTTGCTAATTAGGGTTTGATCAATTTGATTAGTTAATTGCTTACACTTCTTGCAAACCTAGGCACCTAGTCTATTTATAATCTTATTATAATCAGACTAGGGCACGAAGCCCAAAACCACTTCTAATCCCCATATGGCCGGCCACCTAGAGTGATGAGGCCCATGATGGGCCTCGTCCTCTAATGCTCGATCTAGCCCTTTGTGTGACCTTATAGGATCCGTCCAATTGGGCTTTGGGCTATTATACTAATCCAAATATCGTTAGTACCTCTAGCTATGGCAAAACGACGACCCAAAAGTACGATCTTAATTATCTCCATAATTTGATCCATTTATATATCTAGTAATTGCACACGACGAAGACATAACTCCTTCAATCTCCCACTTGTCTGAGACAAGGGTGCAATATTCAAATTCCTTAAGTCAATGTATGTGTCGATTTGATAATATGATTGCATCACATGTCGAGATCATATTAATCTACAAATCGTTTCTTGAAATTTGAGTTAGAATTACAAAACCAAATGATTACTGTGTAATGCATTTGAACGCGGCCACGTATTTTCTGAATTCTCCCTCTTCAAGAGGCCATGACACATTTCCTAATTTAATAGGTAGACTCTATCCAATCTTGTGGTAACATGACTCCCACTCAACTTCTGAAAAATAACCAGGAAACACCTTTTATAATCTCCGGTTACGGCTAGACGTTTGAGTGTACCACAGTCACAACATCCATTGAATGAAATTAATGTTCCACTCATGTCAAAGGAAATCCACTAATATATACGGAAGCTCTATACTTGAACTTCAAAGTAGGTCAATATTTCGATCATGCATCATTCATGCATATCCAAGTGATTGACCGAGCATCACCATGCCCCTATAACCCATGAAACTGCGCTATCCAATCAATCTTACATGCTAGTTCATTTATTGAAATCATTTATGTCCACTTTAATGATCTCGAACTAGGAACTTTAAATAATATATGAATTTTGTTCACTTGTGGGGTTCAATTCACCGGGTCGATGAACCCATCATTTCATAATTATTTTGGACATTTTATTTAATTTCCAAAACCATAATTAAATAAGAGAAATAATAATTTCTATTTTAAACATAATTCTGCAAATTGATGCATTTCTCATGTAATATGTTTTCTCAAAACATATAAAACTTAAATTACATAACTTGCTTCAATCCTAAGACTTTAATATGACTCTCATACATTAGTTCATGGAAGGGGTTTAGTGATTTCTCACTCATAATAAAACTTAGCAGAACATGCCTTCCGCTGTCAATGATCTCATAATTGAGGTGATTTCTCATATCCTTTTGTTTGGATTTGTGATGTGACTCTGGCTCCTTTGTTCTTGGGCAAAGGTGACCTGTTAGTCACATGACATTTTAATCCGAACTTCCTCTGTAACTATCTTACTATAGTTTAATACACATATTCTGACATTGAGTATGCAACAGTGCTCTGCTTTGAACTCTTCAAGCTCACTGTCCTTCTCCATCCAGACACAAATATGCATTTAGATCACCATCTAGAATCATATTGCCTGTTTGGAAAACTTGCATTCGTGTAACCTTTTAACAACTTGCTTAAATTACCATTTAACACAATAGCTAGAAAAATTCCTTTTAGTGCTTCTCAAGTACTCAAGGATTTGTTCTTGGAATTCTCCGTATACTTATTCTGAATTTGCTTGAAACTTGCTACACATGCACAAGTCATATGCAACATCTTGTTTTGTACATTTCATGGCACAAGTAATGGATCCTTTTGTAGAAGCATAAGGTACATTATCCATACAACTAAACTCTATTAGCTTTTGAGGCACTGAGTTTTACTGAATGTAATACCATGAAACATGGGAAAACATCCTCTCTTAGAGTCTTGCTTCATGAACTTGTCAAGATCCTTATCAACATAAGTCTCTCGATTCATTCTAATCATTCTTCCAGATTCACTTCATGGATCTTAATTCCCAATATGTACTCTACATCTCCTAAGTCTCTCATATAGAAACAATCTTTCTAACCACTGCTAGACTTATTCAAGCAGACCAATTCCTCCCACTAAACTTCTTGTCTCTACAAGATTTCTTTTTCGTTCTACTAAGAAAATCAAACTGTTTGATTGCCTAATTAAAACGAATTTTCCAACTCCTTAATGCTTACTTCAATCCATAAATGAATTTCTGAAGTTTGTAAAACTTTCTAGGATTTCTGGATTTCAAAATTCTTAGGATGTATCATATACATACTCACCATCAAGAACATTTCATGAAGTTGATTTTAATATCCATAACTAGAATAATCCGAATAGGCTTACCCAACTAATAGGTTTGACCCTATTTGTAAGACTATTATGGACTAACACATTTTTACAAACATGGAGTCTATACTGGATTTCATGGCTTTAAGCCATTTCCTGAGTTGGCACTTATCCAAAGCTTGCTTGTAGGGCATGGATTCTAACCGTTCTAATAAAAAATTTAAAAATCCACATTTTCTCAGAATTTCAACAAACTGTTTGTTTTAATCCCAAGTAACCTACGATAGGTATGAGCGACAATAGAATTATTCTCTTCAACTCTTTGAAGCCTTTCATTCTAGGAGGACGATAGAAGCCTTGCTAGTGGAATTAGCTTGCTTCGACACATGTTTTATCAAATTAGCTGATTTCATGCGCATTCGTTTCTGATGTAGTGTTATCCACATCCATTTGTTGCTCGTCTCGAATTCTCATCAAATCTAACTTTACTCCCACTTGGCTTTGTAGGAAGACATTGTTTCTATATAGACATTATCGCGTGCAACAAAAACACTGTTC